GTGTGGGAGTGGTGCTGGTGGGACTCGTCCGGGAGAATTGCTGGGCGGGTGAGAGGTGGGCATCCCTTTTCCCAGCCAGACCAATGTGCTTTCCACACCTGTGATGCTTAGCGAGAGCACGGCTCACGCAGAGCTCCGCAGGCTGTTGCAGACTGCGCGGTGGAACAGGGTGGTGGCTGGCTCGCAAGTAAAGAGAGCACGGTGTGGCATAGGCAAGGTCATGCCGGGCTGAGGTGCTGGAGGCAGCCGAGCCGCGCTGCTCTGTGCCGGGGCAGGCTCCAGTGTCAGGAGCAGAGTGTCCCTGCTCCTCTGACGGCCAGGGCAGGGCCGCTGCAGCTCTCCCTGCGGCTCCCTGGGCAGATGCTCGCTGCTCCCGTTATCCACAGGCACTTCATCTCTCCTCCCAGCTTGCATCGGCCTCACGGCCAGGTGAACCTGACAATTGGTCGTTCTGAGCCACTTTTCAGCCATAGAACGCATCACAGGCATTGCATCCAGCACAGGGGCTGTGGATCTTCTTACAGTTGCATTAAGGTCATGAGTAACTAAACCCACGTACATAGGCGAGCCTGGTTCTGGTCACTGGTGTCAGGGATGATTGTTCCCTGAGCTATGCACTTGCCCACACAGATCACCATGGCTGTCTTGGCAAACAGATTTTCACAACTCAGCAGCAGCCTCACGAGCTTGCCTGATGCAAAAGGCTTTTCCATATGTGCTAAAGGCTGCCTAAAATCATCTTGCCCTCTACTGGGCTCTGCTGGTATCCTGCCGTGGCACCTCTGTGGCACATTAAATAGCTGGCACCCTGAAAAGTGTCTGAGAAATCAGGAGCAGACCTCACAGGACTTGTCTCTGTGCTGTGGCAGTGCCAGTTTTGCTGTGCTGGACAGGACAAGCAGTCTTTTGGCAATGTAAGCCTGATGATGGGCCAGTTCAGACCTTTGTTACACTGCCAGTTAGACTTTAAAACTGCAATTAAATAAAGTATGTTCTTCTGTTTGTTAGTTGTGACTATTTGCCCTGGAAGGAAATTTAACCATTTGTGCCAATCACTTGCTGTCATCATACCTAGGTTGCTCGTGCCTCAACTTTTACCTCAATGTTTTTATGAGAATTCCTTTTTTGAAGATTTAACAATTTGCTGATTAATGCTGCTGAGTTCCCCGAAGCCTAACAGTTCACAAAGCCAGCAAAGAAACTGGAAACTGGCAATGCACTGGGCACACACTGAATACAAAGTTTGCACACACCTCAAGGAGGACCTGTGAGCTGTATTCAGGGAGAACACTGACATTTCCTGTTCTGCTGATTTAACTGATTGTTTCCTTGTTTTGATCCAGGCCAGTTTAAAATCTCAAATGTATTTGTCATGCTCTGGGTGGATCTCCTGGGAATACATCACTTTGTTTTAAAGCATTCTCTGGGTATTAGTCTCTGCTTATCCAAATCACTCAGTAGAAATGGCATTAAGATATCAGGAAGAGCTTGTGTAGAGCTGTCCAGTCTCACTGCAGCAGCACGACTTAGTTAAACCCAGACTGTCAGCCCTGAGCTGGCCAAACTGACTCGCCATGCCCGGGGTTGGTGGGAGGCAGAGGAGGGCAGGTCACTGCCCTGCTGGCCTGGTGTCAGTCAGTCCCTCGGCAGCCCTTTGTCCACTTGTGCCCTGTGTGGGGACGAGCCAGCCCCTCTGGCTGCCTGCAGCACACCCTCATGCTCAGATTTCAACTCCTTCGTTCTATCTTTCATTTGCTATCAGTGTGTAGTCATTAAATGTGCCCTTTAGCTTCTTTCCGGATGCTTTTAGTGTTGGATCCATTTCAAACCTTGCATTTCAGCATGAGATCAGGCAATTACCTTTCTTTCTTAGACCCAAGTGGGGTTAATACTTTTCTTTTCAAGCCCCCAGGGGAGGAAGAAGTAGAAGTAATGGTCTTTCATGCAGAGCTGGGTATGTGGAGCTGTGATTAAGGTGTGAGAGCTTTCTATTCCTCTGCAGCTCACAGAACTTTACACCCTCTGCTCCAGGAGTGCTTGGTGCAGCAGGTTACTCACCTTGAGGGTAACCTCTCCTCTCAGATAAACCCATTCAATCCTCTGCCAGCACAGGGGTGGTTCTTGATAGCACAAGCTAAAGTGCTGCTCCAAAACAAGGTTGCATGCAAAAGCTTCTAGGATTAGGACTTCTGCCAGCGAGACTTGCTCAGCCCAGTTACTTTTCATTATATTTTTTGTGATTCACAGCAGGACAATCACAGGCAGCTGTATCAAAGGGGCTTTCATATGTTCAGGTGTCACTTAGCTAAAGGCACTGTGCCGAGCCCTGCTTCTGCTGGCATTTGTTGAAGAGGTGGGTGCTGAGGAGAGCTGCCTCCTTTTGCCCCAAAACTTGATCCCTGAAGTCAGAAAAATTGATGGTTCTATTTATATTTATTTATATTTATTTATATTAAGTGGTTCTATTTATATTTATTCTATATTAAGTTCAAAATCTTCAACGTGAGCGAGGGAAGTTGTAATAACTGGTTGTAGTTCATAATTCTGCTGAATGTGGGAGACAGCACATGGGATGTGCTGCAGGGACACCCCAGCTTGTGAGGAAGAGGGGGCTCAGTCTTGGAGCTGAACGTGGATCTGCTCCTGGCAGACACCCAGGACTCAGGAGTATCCTCTCCAAGACAAGCCACACGTGGCTGAATATTTGATGTGGGTGATTATTTGAATATGAGCCATGTCCTGGGTTGAGAAACAG